AAACTGAAAGCGACAATAACCAACAGGTGCTCAGAATTTCCTGCCTTCTGCACTGCTCCCTGAAATACGAGGGACTAGGAAAACATCACCTGACTTACAAACTCACCTGTGCACGAGTTAGAGCCATCCCCAGTATAGCCAGCGCTGCAGGCACAGGTAAAGCTTCCCACAGTGTTAGTGCAGTCAGCGTTGGCGGCGCAAGGGCTGGGTCCACTTGCAGCGCATTCATCGATGTCTGAAAATAATACAGAATGACTGGACGGTTATGGTTTAATATCAAGTCAGAAAAATGAAACAATTAAATCTAAAAGCTAAAATAGCTCATTGCACATGGGCTGTACGTTGGCACGATAGATTTGTATCATCTTTGTTCTTATTTTAGGAACAGCAAAAAGTAAGTTATTACATTTAAAAAACGTGTGCAGTGAAGCTCTTAACAGTATCCATGTTAATATTTACCTGTGCAAGTGACCCCATCTCCCGAATACCCGGATGTACAAGCGCACGTAAAGCTGCCAACAGTGTTTGTACACTGGGCGTTTTCGTCACAGTTGTCGGTGTTTGCGGCGCATTCATCGATGTCTGAAAAAAGGTGTCATACATGTATCAGTGTCTTAGCTGAGGTTGGCATTCCACTGTGAGGTTAATGTATAATCAGTAAATTGGTGCAACAAAGGATCATGTAATTGTGTGAAATGAATAATCAAAAAAGGTTACAGTGTGTGTGTTAATTATTCAAAATGGAGTACCAGACACATGAATACATACAGTTATTGTAACGTGTTATATACGGGGTGTACGGATAACCCTATTTCTTATTTCTTACGTTCCTTTTCTTTTGTAAAAGCGTTCAAAACTGTAACCAGCAATAACCAACAGGTGCTTAGAACTTTCGCCTTCTGCATTTCTCACTGAGATACCACGGTCAATGAAACTATCCCCCGAGACTACAAACTCACCTGTACACGAGCTAGAGCCATCCCCAGTATAGCCAGCGCTGCAAGCACAGGTAAAGCTTCCCACAGTGTTAGTGCAGTCAGCGTTGGCGACACAGGGGCTGGGCCCACTTGCAGCGCATTCATCGATATCTGAAGAAATGCGGAATGGCTGGAGTGTAATATCAAGGCGGAAAAATGAGACAATAAAATCTTAAAGTAAAAACAAAATTCTTGTTGTACTGGTACATTGTATATGAACGTGTAGTGAATGTTGGCAGGATAAATTTGTTACACTTTTGTGTTTTTTTTAAAGTAAAACCTCTTATCTACCTGTATAATACAACTCCCACCGTGGTTATATTTACCTGTACACGTGATCCCATTTCCCGAATATCCGGATGAGCATGCGCAAGAAAAGCCGCCGTCAGTGTTGGTACATTGAGCATTTGCATGGCAGTTGTCGGTATTTTCAGTGCATTCATTGATATCTGGAAGATTGCAGAATGTGTGAGGGAATGCCATGCTTTGTCCATTTATTAAGGCTCATTGGACTTTACCAAGGTAAGACAGAGAGAAGAATCATATTATCTAAATAGTTTTTTTGTTTTTTCAAAGTATTTCTGAAAGTATATTTTAAACCACATTTTTTGGAATGCTTAACCCAACTAAAATCACTAAGTGTAGTTGATTCATTTAATTCATTTTTGTCTAAAATACCTGTGCACGTGACTCCATCTCCGGAATACCCGGATGAGCATGCGCAAGAAAAGCCGCCGTTAGTGTTGGTACATTGAGCATTTGCATGGCAGTTGTCGGTATTTTCAGTGCATTCATTGATATCTGGAAGTATGCAAAATATATGGACGGTTATGGTGTAATATCAATTCATAAAAAACAAAGAATTATCAAAGTGAAATAGATAAGTTATTGTGAAAAAAGCAGTTCACTTTTGGGCTTTATTTACGGAATTCAGCAACAGTCGGAAAAAAAACAAGTTCTTACCTGAAGAACTTCTTACCTGTACACGTTCTTCCCTGCAACAATCCCTTCCCCGCAATAAATCTAAACCTGCACAAGTTCTAACCTGCAAATATTCTGACCTGTAGAAGTTCCTACCTGCACCAATTTCTTACCTGCATACGTTCTTTCCTGCACAAGTTTTTACCTGCACATGTTCTTAGTGCCTGACACGTTGTTATCTGCACAAGTTCTTACCTTTATAAGTTCTTATCTGTGCAATCTCTTATACTGTACCTGCAACAGTTCTTACCGGTACCTGTACAAATTCTTACCTGCACAAGATTTTTACCTGCACCACTTCTTACCTGTACACGTCTGACCGTCCCCAGTATAACCAGCTCTGCATGCACAGGTAAAACCGTCGGCAGTGTCAGTGCAGTCTGCGTTAGCATCACAGTTGTGCGTGCCGGCGGCACATTCGTCTGTAGCGCCACCTATATATAGTTAAGGTAGATGATGATAATTGTACATGTAGTCATGTCATTGATATGAAGACTTGCAAATATATGACCTTGATTTTACAACCAGAAGACTATTTTTTCATTTATTTTTTAAAGATTATGCAGTTTTTCTCTACACATCTACGGCAAACCATACATTATTCCCATTCAATTGACTATGAAAATCATTTACCAGCCTCACAGAATTATTATTTTTTAGAAAGGGGAAGAAAATCTATTTTTAACAAAAGTTTCCATGGTTACTTACCTCCGCAGCCTCCGGAGATCTCACATTCTGTCTCAGTGACTGGAATGGAGAGATTATGAATTATTTCCAAGTTAACAATTTTTGATAATATGGAGTCAGGGCGCCGTCCATCTTCAGTATATAACCCAGTACGGTAGTAGGTGGCGCGTTAAGAATGACATTACCGTTGTAGCGAAACTGAGAGTCCGTGTAACTGAAATTCCTCTCTCCATTTAGTTATAATGGTTAGGGTTAGCCCAAGGGGGTCAAAATCTAGGGCGGGGCTGACCTGTACAAACGAATGGGAAGCGGACTCTCTATCATTGGGGACTCTCCGTCACGTTAAAAAAATGAACACCTGTACTAGTACTACTGTGATTCATAGGGTGCAATATACTATGAGTATCTTCGCTAAGAAAGTTATGTTTTCACGTCTGTCTTTTTTATTTTTTAAGCACCTAACTCAGAAAGTTATAAATAGACTTTTCTGATTTTTTGGGGTATGAAATATGCTGGAACGGGTACAGGTACATGAGAGGGATAATAAATAGTTTAATTAAACTAAATTTTAGTGTTTTGTGTTCTTCAGTACTTGCACCTGTTCACCTGTACCTGTGTATATTACATGTATACCAGTAGCTAGAGCACTTACCACATAGTCCATTATTGCAGGGGTTAGCTAGATACTGATTGCTTGGACAATTGCTACAGGGTGTGCCAGAATTATAGGGGCTCTGTCCCTGATAATTGCCACTGAAATAATGAAAATAGAATAATAATAATAATATTTAGGTATGATAACATATGATAGTGCAAATAGTACACAAACATATGAGGTCATGTTTACACACAAATAGAATGAAGTGATGACTCAGAGGGGAGTTGATGTCACAATACTGGACGTAATGTCACAAGAACAGGACATGATGACACAGACAGAGCGTGATGTCACACAGACATGGCGTTATGACACAGACAAGGCATGATGTCACACAGACAGACAGACAGATTGTACACAATTGTATTTATCTTGTATAATGTTAAATATACAAAGTGACTTTCTCGTCGCAAAGTGAACGCACATAAACTCTTGCTGTAAAGATGGTAAGGCGTTTCAGAATGATTAATGAACGTGAATTTCCCTTTGTTGTTTAGAAATAAAGTTGGTTTTTTTTTTCACCTCCCCGTTCTACTAAAAATTAGCAGGGGTTGGGAGGCCGGCTGCGCGTGCACTTACCCGGGGTAGTAATTACAGACGACGATCCAGTAATATGGAAACTGGGCTCCGCAGGGGGAAACACCTTGACACGCAGAATACGCACAACCCAGTCTAAAAGAATTGGCCCATGCCACCTATGTAAAAACATTTAAAAATGCTATTCGTTTTAAAGTTTGTACAAATTCATCACCAGTCCTGATGCATTAAATTAAGTCTATCACCAAAATGTGAGCAATATTTTTCAAAGTCCACAACTGCAACTTTCTGCCAAATGGGATACCTTTCACAAATTATGATTACATCTAATAACCTTGCTCCGCTAGTGAATAGTGCATGTGATTTCAAAGCACAAAGTCAAAATTTTGGAAGTACTTATGATACATTATTAATACTAATATTAAATATTAATTGCAAGTATGACATATTCAACCACGTGATAGCAACGTGACAGTCTGAACCCGCCCTCCTCACCTGTGTGTAGTGTCCACAGACTTTATTGGTGTCACATGTGTCCGTGGCGTAGTTGTAAAACTGGTTCTCGTTAAACCAGGACTGCAGAGCTAAGCCAGTGAGGTTAGACGGCTTGTTGTTGACGGTGCTGCAGGAGACGTAGAGGTTCTGCCCCACGTACTGGCCGGCGAAGTCAAACGTGCACCCTTGGTTCTGGTAGGGGGTCAGGTCCGCGTGGGCGTGGGCGTAGATGCACTGGTTTATGTAGTCTTGGCCGTCGCAGTCCGCCAGATCTGGGTCCCACATCTAGATGTATTATTAAGCAGTATAATTATCATTGATTGGGGTCATTACTGATCTGATCCATGGAACCGGTAGTTTATAACAAGATATACTGGTATGCCCTGCAAAGCCCTGCATAAATATCCTAAAATGTCCCCTTAATGTTAAATGAGTTTTTCTCATTTTTTTATTTTTGCTTAACATGTTTTTTATTTTAATTATTAACGGCCCCCTGAGCTGCCCATGTGCCAGCGTACGTACCATCTGTTTCATATTGGAGGATTGCGGTTGTACCATCCTCCTGGCCTCATTGTGGTAGTTGAGCATCTCTTCCTTCTCAGAAGCACTGAACAAATTCTCCGGACACTGGCTACACGGAGCCGCCAGGGAGCGCTTCGTTCGCACTTGCGAGTACGAAAATGACATGGAGGCTGCAAAAGTTTCAAATTTTTTAACATTTAACGATTTAAACGGGTTAAAAGTTTGAAGAAATTGAATGAGTTGTGGTGAAAAGTTAAAATTGCTGGTGATTTTACAGGGAAACGGTAACAAAACGATGACAAAAACAATTGTACACGCAGATAAACCTGATATTATTTTAATTATAAACAACAGCAAATCAAACCCGTTTAGACGTACCTCCATTCACTGTTGCTATGGCAACAAATATAAAGTTCAGCAGAATGCTAGACAGCATCTTCATCTGAAAAAGTTAATTCAAAATAAGTTAGTTTTACTATTAAAAATCTAAAAGTGTGCAAGGAATAAAGGAGCATCGGAAGATTTTACTAAATTTTGGTACATTATATATACCCTGTATATATATATATTGTTTCACCTTAAAGGATTCTTGAACTGCTCAATTAATTATGATTCTAGTTCAGTTTAACAGAGGGTTCGGTTATTTTGTAAAAGAATTCTGCACAGATCTTCTCCTCGTTTATCTAATGTGTCCATGTTTGGCAATGCGCGAACTTGAACAGACTCTATCTATATTAACAGATATTTTAGCTGACACAGAGGACAAGATCCAGGGGGTCAAACAAATGCTTAATTGCAAAGCAGACACGGCACACAATCAAACAACCGGCTTAATTTGCTGGTATACAATGTTTACCACATTTTAATGTTAAAAATCCCGTTGTCTCTATTTAATATTAGCTTGCGAGAACAACAGTTGCAGATCGTGCAAAGTAGAACATCGGATATAGTGGTGGTACAAATCTACATGTAATTACAGGTCATTATTGTGTATATAGTGGGTTCTTTCGTCTTGGTAAGTGAAGCTTTAACTGCCTTATTAACTCCTACATGAAATCAACTATCAATTACACCTGTATACTGGTGTAATTGTATCAATTTCCTGGACAAATTTCCTGGACATTTGACCCATATTTTGCTTTGTGGTGATGAGGCATCCAAGTTCGATGCTGAGGGAAAATTGGATCGTGTTGTTTGTGTGGAAGTAGTTAGATATATGATGTACTAACATAATATTTATTTTATTGAAAGTTAATCTGTCATACCTATTTTCATTATTATTTGTTTATTCTTATATGAACATATACAATATTCTGCTCGGTAAAAGTCGTTATAAAAACGCAAACAAAATAAGACCCGCTTAATTAAAAGTTAAAGTTTCGCTGGGTTTCTCTTTTTATTTCTCCGACATTTTTGTCACCTCCCACTCCTCAATCGTGGCCAAAACTTTGAACAGCTCAAAATTTTTGCCACGAATTCCCGATTGATCAAGAATTGCAAGAACTGACTACGATTATATACGAATCTATTAAGAACTTCACGAACTGATTAAGATTCAACCACGAATCCTGAAATTTTCAATTCCTGGCGATTCGTGGCATTCGTGGTCTGTGTGAAATAGGGGCATCAAAGTTTTTGCCACCAATTCCTGTTGGTCAAGAAGTGCAAGAACTGTCTACGAATATATACGAATCTGTTAAGAACTTCACGAACTGATTACGATTCAACCACGAATCGTGAAATGTGTCAATTCATGGCCATTCGTGGGATTCGTGGTCTGTGTGAAATAGGGACTTTAACCGTGATGTCATGGTCCGATTGTAGATGATACTAGTTGTGCATGACCACCCATTTCTTAGACGAGAACCAGTGTGATGTCTGACAGCTATTTGCATACGAGTTCTTTTTTTCTCGAGCGAGAATACACCAAGTCTCCGCTTTTTCCATCATGATCAATATTTATTTAGGGAGATAAAATCCCTGACGCATACTATAAGTCTATGAACAGACAATAGATCAAAGTAATGTATTTCTACATGTATGTCGTTTTTACGCCACAATCTATATGTACGGTACATGCATTAACGAAGTAGGAGAAGGGATTTGCCGTTCGGTGTCAAAAACTGGCTGCATTTTTTTTTTTTTTTTTTTTTTTTGCAATCGGACCATGAAATTGCGACTTAAGTCATGAATTCAGCGATCACTGGGCCGCGGCTCCAAGTAACAGGTGCCGATTTCAGTTCTCGTGCTTGCCCTCGAGATGAACGCAGACAAAGGCACCTACATTTACTATAGCCTTTCACAATTGACATTTTTCTATGCTTCTGATCGTCTAAATTTTAGGCGATGGGTTAAGGTTTAAATTTTGGTAAAAATGGATTCTGACAAAATTTATTATTTATAAATTAAAATGAAAAGCGTCCCACATATAGAAAACATAAAAAATTAAGTGGAGACAGGCCTACATCAGAGAAAGAAATATTAGTCCAAAAACATGAGAGTAGGCACTTTTGAAAAGAAATGAAACAATTAAATTAAGTTACATCCTCTCTTCCTGGACTAATGTTTTTTTGACTGTGTATGTTACTTATCAATGTTAATGTTAATTATCAATGATTCTTTTTAGTTTATACACCATCTCCAGAAGTAAAAAAATGTTTTTTCTACCGTGTATACTGCCTACCAGTGTTAGAGTGCTTTCCCAGAGATTTAGATCGATCTAAAGTTTAAGATTTAGATCGACCTAACTCCCTGGGGGTTCACGCTAAATTCCAGTCAGCCGAGCGGGCACCATAGTTAATTACCCTCTTACAGCTTTTAATAGGCGGAACAGACGCTTAAGCCGGCCAAGCTGACAGTAATCTAGTGAGACTCCCCACAGGGATAGATCGATCTAAAAATCTATGGAAATGGGGTGTTAGATAGTCAAGAATCTACCTTGGTAGTTTATACATTATCCACAAAAGTAACAAATCTTTAACCGTTTATGCTTCCTACCGGTACAGTGTTAAAATTACATGTAGGAAGAATCTTGTCAATTTCTACCTGTATTAAATAATGTACATTTGTGAACGATAGCACGGGTGTTGAGATGAAATGTTCTTTACGTAATTGCTTCTGCAAAAATATTTATGTTTACCAGTGTTTTTTACAGCTTATTTTTCTTTCCGTGTTACAGTCGTAGTTTGTATAGTTCTGTATATTTTGTTATTATGTTACTCATTCCACTGTATATTATACAGACTTGACATTTAATATGGAATATTTCAGTTTTAAAGGTATACCTAGGTAAAAATGCTTTCTTTTTTCAAAAAACTCAGATCTCACATAAGATATCTGACTGGAGAAGTATGAAGTCAGGTGTGTCGCTACCAATTTACTGACTACCAGGTCTGTTGCACTGCTGCATTGTGTAATATGCAGTGATTTAATTGGCTGGTGCTCCTTTGGGCTGGTCAAAGCTTGGCTTTGATGAAGCATGGTTCTGTCAAAAAAGTATCCATATGTCGGCAACTACTGTATCGAAGAATTTGAAATTTTGCATGCAAACAGTCTGTTTTGCAGTGCGTAAAATGAATTAAGCAGTGTTTTTAAAAAATTTTAAGCTGTGCCAGAATGGCGCGAAAAAGACAGACATTGCCAGACATAGTCTGCACAGTTTTATAGGGTTATGCCCAGACTGATGCACCTACACAGAGACCACGTCCAATGTATCGACATCTTACCACCAGGTTACAGGACTCACTGTCCTTCAGGATATGCTGCTGCAATTAAACCGAAACCACCCAGTCCGTTTTGAATGAGGGGCAAATTGTCACCAAAACGCGTTTTTTCAAGGCTCTTAGCGAACACCAAAATGGTTTCAGCAGGTTAGGATATCAGGCGACCTCTGAGGAAGCCACTGTAAACAGATAAACAGCGTAGTCTGTTTCTCTAATGAATTGGGGACCCTAACCGTTTTTGGGTAGAACACTGAAATCGCGTGGCTTTCTTTATTGAAGTCAGATTTCACCCGTACCGCTAAAATGGTCAAAACAGAGTTTACAGACATCCTGAAGAGGCCTACGACAAGACGTGTGCCACTTTTTAAGTGACTAGGGTCATTGGAAGCATCACTATTTGGAGTGGATACCACATTGGTGCCAAAACACTAATGGAAGTCATCGATGAAAACCTGAACCAGATCAAATAGAGGAATACTCTGGGAACCACTTGACCATCATTTGATAGGGGGCACCTTAGGAACAATTTTAGGTTGCACGATGAGATTGCCGGTTCACACAGAGCACTTTTAATAGCAGATAACTTACAGAACCAAGGGAATGAGCAGCTACCTTGGTCATCAAAATCGCCATATTTGAACCACATAGACAATATGTGGCTAGGTCATTACTCGCTGTATCAACGGCCTGTATGTCCTACAACAAAACTGAACCAAACTGACCAAGTCTTAACCGTTGCCTGGAATTTTATTCCAGATTAAACTCTAAAAACCCATTCTAAGGAATGCCTTGTCGCTTGAAGGCTCTGGTAGCAGCAAGATGAGGTCCGGCGTAACAGCGACCATTGCTGTGACTAGACACCCACATGAGGGGCCTTTGTGGGGCGTGTAACTCTTTTAAAGACGATAATTTGGAAAATATGGAGATCCAAAATATCGCTTTCAATGGTTGTCGTATGACTTAAAATAGGCAATGTATTTTTGTTTGCTTCACTGGCGAATTCAATTAATGGACTCATGTCACAATAACATCGAACAGATTATCAAAAGTTTTTAAAACACGATTTTAATCCTTATTTTCATTTATCAGTCAGCAAAATAGGAAAAAACTGATAAATTATGATTTGGAAAAAATATTCCATATTAAATGTCAAGTCTGTAAATGTCTTTGTGTGTGTGTGTTTACGTCGGAGTGAGTGAGGTGCTGATATTTAATTATTTCTTTATCAATTTGTACCCTTTCTTGAAATTATGTAATGAAAGAATTGGTAAAATGATAATTTGGAATTTAAAAGATCAGTTATCGAACAAGTTTAAAGGGATAATAACTCTTCGTTTCAGCCAAAAAAAAAAAGAATTTTCCTGGAGTAAACAACAATTTTCCCATACTTACCAATGTAAGTCCCTGTTTTTTCTAAAAAGTTTTGTTTTTTGTTAACAGAGTATAGCCATCAATGGAGGTCACGTGGTCTAAAGACAAGCTCAGATATCAGAATAATAGCTATAACTGCCGTTTTTTTGATAAAACAGAATATGTTATATTTCTATGAGATATTCACAATATTTTTATTGTGAAATATAGATCTCATACGAAGAGTTATTATCCCTTTAGTGTTCAAGCGACAAAATTGTCATGGAAGCGATTGAATCCTAGCATTGGCACGATTTTTCCAAAATGGACAGATTACAAACGTATAGAACATCTTTATAATGCTTAAGTGGAAGTCTGATCTTTCAGAGAGTTTGACATGTATGTAGTCAAACCATTTGTAGTAATTAAAGATATAAAACATTGTTACTAAATTTTGCTGTTCATACAAAATTCATAATCCCACAATTAAAACAAATAATAGTAAACAACACATAATAGTATTAATTGCATTTTACTGCCAAGCCACGATTTCGTTATTATTGTGAAATCCTTGCTGTAGAGTAATCCATGTGCACAATGTAAATGAACCATTTGTACAATCTATAGAACCACAAAAACAATACTTCTACTACTAATAATAATATAAAAGATACTGGAAGTTCTCTGGTTTGCACAACATGTGGATAAAAAAATTAAAAAGAAAATTATGTCATCGTTACCTTTATTGTTTTCCAAGCTTCTTTTCTTCGCTCACTGTCTGTCGACTCTCTTATCTTCACTTAAATGACGACACTTTTGAAGCTTCTCAGCTAGTCTTGTTTTTGAGAAAAAAAATATTTTGCACGTTTCTTTCGACGTTGGTCCGCTTTTCACCGCTGTCTCCTCGCAACTGCTTTTCTCCGGGAGAGGTCAGTTTATATACGCGTGTTGAGGCAAGGATATACGGACAACGAATGTACGTCACAGATGGTGGCGATACAACGAAATGAAGGACGTAAATAAAGTGGTTACTAGTGTCACGTGTCCCGATTGTCACTGTGATAAGATCGGAGTGAGAAAGCGAGATTACTGTCACACCTTATAATATACGCCAGATCCTGTTCACTTCAAAATGTATACATGTCACCAGCGCCGGTATATACTGTTCCAATCTCGACCGGAACAGAGGAGGCCGGTGTGACAGAAATGATAGTCCGCTAGGAACAGTAGCCCGCTTTCCATTACTTTGTACAGGTGACATTCGTCCCATATACTAGTACTAACCCCAATACTCCGCCTTACCCTAACCTGTAGTAATCATATGTGATCCCGGAATTCCATTTATAGGACTTTCCATTCCTGTTACACCGGTTCTCTTTGTGTGCGTGGCAACTCAATATACTGGCTTTGAAGAAAGAGGGTATTCCTAACTGCGCCCCCCCCTCGCTATTGGCACACCCACCAAAATATCAGGACGCAAAAAATGGGAAGGACCGTGGAGCCCCGCCCACCCCACCCACCCAC